ACCAAGAACTGACTAGTTTTGGAGACAATCAGAATATAACAGATGGCTTTATTACCCTTCTTCCTAGGACTATATCAGATCTTAACCTCTGGCACCATCAGCAAGGAACAGCTGCAGAGTCTGATGCATAACCTGTACCCCAGGGAAAGCCCACAGACCACTGATGAGCTTGCTACTCTTTTTCTTAATGAAGTGGATAAAAGCAATCGAGGTAATTTGGCAGCTGTTCCAGTGAGTGTGCTGTGCTTTGGATAGGGCATATCCTGAGTGACTTGATGAAGATCTACAGGTGCTGCCACGCTCAGAGAGGAGAAACAGTGTCCCTCCAAGGATGTACTGTACTGCCATTCTGAGCCCTGCAGCAAGAGCAGGATACCACCTGGGCCAGCTGATGTAGTAATGGGAACAGGGAGAATCAGCTTTTTTGCAGGCAGAATTTGTGGTATCAGACTTCATTTATTATTCCTTTCTAGCAGCCTGAGGGGCAGTGCCTACATTGAACTGATAAGCTAAAAAAAACTCCAGTAGTCAGTGTGGGATTAAGTGGGATTTAAGTCACTATGGGTAGGGGATAGATAAGATAAAGGGAAAGTAAACAGGTTAGGGAAAGGGTTTCTACAGGGCAGGATGACAGAGGGATTCAATGCAGAGATATACATAGGGCTCTAGCCCACAGTCCACAATACAGTTCTTCAGGTATCAAACATGGAAGCAGGTGAGAGAGAGAGAAGCAGAAGCAGAGTCTAGGGCTCCCCCAAGCCAGACACTAATTCCAGCTCCAGCTACATTACAGAGGTGTTTTGTTAGCTCAGGTCATTCTGCTAATGCCTCAGACTCCATGTCTGCCATCTCCGTGATTGAGAAATGAACCCTGTGGCTCCCGTCTCAGTTTCTTCAGGTAGTGTCAGTCAGCACACTATTTGGCTTCCTCTGCTGCCTATTTCTATACAAAGGTTTTACCTGAAAGGGTGGCCTTGCTTTTGGAACTTGCAATACTGAAAGGCAGCCTCTTTTCCACTCCTCCTCACCCCCAGCATTGCCCTGATCCTTCTTATGCTCAATGTGCTACTGTACAGAAGTGAGAAGCAAGATATTTTTTCTCCTGGACCCTCCCTCTGGGCTACATAGAAGACTGCGTATGGTATAAACCAGCCGGAGTCTCAGACTAGTAGATGGAGAGCTAAGGATATAAAAAATAGACTCTGCTACTGGTTTTTTAGGCCAGATTCAGAGTGATCCCATGTCCCTGTGCATCAGAGAGGCCTGGAACAGATGTAACTCACCCAATATCACATCTCACTGACTCTTGTGCCCACAGGTCTAAACCTTTCCAGAACCACCATATACCAAATTAAGATCTTAATTCTGCCCTCTTCACCTTGCAGAGTACAGGTTTCTGTCATCCCCATTTATCACACTGCCTTCCTCCAGCACTCCAGCATTACAAACATTCACAACTCACAGTTTGAGATGGAAGATAGGTAAAGGCAAACACAGGACAGCAGGTTGAAGAGGCAGTATTCAAGTAACAGGGCATGGTCTAACATGTGGCCATTATTGTAGAGGTGGAGGACATGCCTGTGAGTAGGGAAGAGGGTGTATATAGTTTGAATCCTTTAGCCATCAGTTTTATTTCTAGAAGTCTGTTCACTTAGCAGCTGTAGCTGATTTTGTGACGACAGCACTGGTAGGGGATGGCACATTATTGAAAGCCAATCCTTGAAAGTGAAAATGCCATACCAAGACCAAAACTGCATTTAATGGGAAGTAGGTAGAACCTTAATTTTGCTATAAGTTAAATCTAAAACGAGCAAAGCTGCATCAAAACTTGCTGATGTGTTTTCAAGGAGTGTGATTTTATAACTTTGCAACTAGGAAAAACTGCCCTAGTTTTAGTGTGCCACTAGACTTCTGAGCAGGCCATTGGTACACTCAGTAATGGATCTAAGAATAGTCTTATGCCATTTAAAACTATTCTTACCCAAGCTAAAGGGAAAAATGAAATGCGGACACTGTGCAATAACATAGCAAAGTTGACTTGATAAGTCATTTCAGCTGTCACTACTAGTGAGAAATGACTTGAAGATTACACTGTTTTTATCCTCAAGACATACATACCACAAGTGGGAGGAATACAGCTTGGAAGTACAAAACCTTTATTGTCTGTGTTCTGAAGAGATTGTGTTCATGCCTGATTAGGTTATATTGATGAAGATCAGTTTTTTGCTTGGGTGAAGACCCTTCCCCAGCATATATTGACGTCAGTGCTTCATTTTCCAATCATACCTTCTAACATCACTCATCGTAAGGAGCAAGAACCTTCTTTTCCTTCCGTAAGTAGGCCTTTAAATCTCACCCCTTATTGAAAACACACCCACATGAAAGCAGAAACAGTGGTAAATACACTCTTTTTTAATGCAAAGTTTTATTTTACATAAAATTTAGTGCTTTGTGGAAAACAACTGTATCAGGCCCAGATTCTTACAAGTGACTAATGATTGCAGTGCCCAGTTTGACACCTGGATGCAGGGCGTGGGGCTGCAGCCTGGCCAGACCCAATGCCTGGCAGCAGCGAGGGCGGGGGCAGCGGCAACACAGAGTTGTGCCTTGCCCCACTGTCAGCATTTACGGATCGCCCATGGTTTGAGGTACCTTGAAGTGATGACATTTTCAGATGGCAGGGAATTCCACACTTTCATTGGGCCAGGCTCTTTCTGTGTCTCAGGTTGCATGGCCACAGAGGGACACGCTGACTTGAAGACCCTGGTACAAGTCCTGTGTGATGTCACTTTTCAGCAGGGGAGTTGTGCTTTAGCTACAAACATCCATATGAAGAACAAAGAGGCACCAGCTTCTTGGTCCACACTGCTGCTTTATTTCAACTTCGGCTCCAGGAGTTTCTCCATTCTCTAATTCAAAATTTCACCTGAAGTTCTCCAACAGCATCAGAGAGGTTAAGGACCCAGCCTCTGCTACAGGCCTTCAGAGTGAGCCGGACAAACCCCATGTCTCCTAACACCTGTCTACACCAGGTGGCCTAGCCTATTACCCTCAGCCCTGCTTTCCCAGTCATTTAGATTGAGAATCCATCAAGAAGCCAACTATCAGAGCTTCTAGATGTGTACATACCTATCCCTCTGGCTCTCTTAGCAACTTAGCCTCTTCCAAACATGAGATACTTTGTTGGTCTTAAGCCAGAGTCCACACTCCCCTTCATAAGCCCTAGTGTTTCTCTATAGAGGGCCA